CCCGGCAACCCCCGGCAAGTGCTCGCCTCAGCGCATGCGCGGCTCCCCGGCCGCAGTACCTCAATTTGGCCACGCGGTGGCAGCACCCGGAGTGGTAAGGGCGCCGCTCTGCGCATGCGCCGCTTTCTAGCCGCAGTACCTCGATTTGGCCACGCGGTAACAGCACCCGGAGTGGCAAAGTCGCCCCTCTGCGCATGCGCTGCTTTCCAGCCGTAGTACCGCACTTTGGCCATGCGGTGACAGCAGGAGGAGTGACAGAGGCACCCCACTGCGCATGCGCTTCTCTCCAATTCTGGCCACCCGGTGGAAGCACTCAGAACGGCAAATGCGCCCCTCTGCGCATGCGCGGCTTTTTCCCCTGCGATGCCAGCCCCTGCCGGGCTTAGGGGGTGCCGCGGGGCTGCATTCTGTCCCCACAACCTGCAGGCGGTGGGGGACCCAGCACTCCCCGAAACCTCACCTGTCCCTATGTCCCAATCCGTCCCCCCTTCGTCACCAGGTGCCATGCACTCCCTTGTCTTCCCGTGCACCCGCCAGTTGGTGAGCCACCCCCCCGGCCTCCGCCGTGCCCTGGATCTCTACCCCATCCTTGTCCAAGCCCCCATCCTGGACGGGCAGGTGCTGGCGCCACAGGATCCCGTGGGGACGTGGCCCTGCCCCGTCCTCAGCTTCCACCAGCTGCTGGGCCACCATGACCATCACCCATTCCATGCCAAGGAACCCGGCAAATCATGCTTCCAGGCTGTCACCCTGGCTGTCACGGCACATCTCCGCAGGGCACTGGAGCTCCGCTGCAGCACGAGGTGGGTGCCCCATTTTGCTGCTCATTTATTCACTGGTTTCTTCTTTTTGCCCAGCAAGAGACGGTGCCGCCTGCGGCTGCTGGACTTCGGGTCTCCAGGACAATGACATCAGTTGCAGGCCGAAGGGGACGAGCCTTTTGTCCAACACAGTGGCGTTGGCCGAAGCCTGCAGCAAGGTCTCCAAACACCAAAGCGAGTGCCTGAAATGCATCTCCAAGTGACTCAAAGGTCCCTCTGGCACCTTGGTGGCTCTGTGATCTATTGACGCGGTGATCCGCACCCATCTTTATGTCAATGACCTGTCCTACAGCGTCCTGCACGACGCCCGCCCTGTGATCCGCCACCACCAGTCCCCTGCCCCTCAAATGCCAGGACTTCCACGCCCATCAGTTCTCCTTCGCCAGCACCGTGAGTTTGCTGCAGTCCCTGGAACCTGATGGTGTTCAGCGAGTGGATTTATGCTTCAGCAGCCTGGGCCTGCCCGGTCTCTGCACAGTTTTACAGCACCTCACCAGATTCACTGACCTTCTCAGCCTCGCACTACCCTGGAGCAACACTGACGTCTGGTGACCAGCAACGAGAACGGATGCTGGCCCCTGGTGACTCGCCGCGTGGCTGGGGAGCCTGCCCTGCCTCAAGGAGCTCAACTCGGCTTCCTACAGGCTTTCAGGGAAACTGAGGCAACTTCTCCAGTAAGTTCCTGGTGGAGCAGATCGCCAACCTGCTCTTTTCACACACCAGAGGGGAATTCCCGAGTTTCGGTTTGCACATGGGGGCTTGGGATCCAGAGGGAATTGCTGCCATTTCCTAACATGAATCCTCCAGGTATATGGGAACCAAATATTTAATATAAGGTTTAGGCTGGCAGCAGCTCCCTCCTGGTGCGGTGACGGCTTCGGGGAGCTCACGGCTCATTCTCCACCCCCCAGCAGTGACGTGCAGGCTCCCCTGGAAAGCCTGGAGCTGCCCTTCTGCTGCCTCCTTCTTGGCAACCTTGCCTTCCTTTCCCAAAGCCTCCACGCTCCAGCGCTGAAGAAATTTGACCTAAGGGGCCATGATTTTTCCAAAAACTTTCTCCAACACCTCCGGCATCTCCTGGAAGAGGCTTTGGCCTCTCTCCTCTGCCTGGATCTCACGGATTGCGAGCTGACAGACTCCTAGCTGGAAGCTCTGTTGCTGGCGCTCTGCCGTTGCTCGCGCCTCCGCTTCCTCAGGCTTTGTAGGAACCCACTTTCCACACCAGGACTCAAGACCTTGTTACAGAAAACCGTGGTTCTCCCGGATTTATGCCTGGTCTTCTGCCTGTATCCCGTGGACTGCTACAGCCAGGAGCCGCCCCAGTTGCCCCTCAACTGCCCCCAACCGTCCTGCCTACGCTGAGGAACGTGTCGCCACGGTGAACGCCAAGCTGTGCCAGGTGCTGGTGAGCTCCGGCAGAGCCGACGTCTGGACCACCAGCCTCTGCCGGCACGACGCCCTGACTACATCACCATGTTGCGTCGCTGTGCTGCGACCCCTCCTTCCTCCAAAAATCTGGTGTTTCCTCCTTGTCCCGGTGGTTTTTTGGTACCTTCTCCCTTTTGTTGTCACTGCATCACCAGCATCAACCCCAACCAGGGGAGCTGGTGCCACCGATATCACCTGAGAGCGCCTCGCATCACCAGGACAGCATGGATCAGCATCCAGACCCTCATCAGCTGATTAATTAATGGTTTATAAATCACTGCCACTCGGCCGGTGTCGAGGTTACAGCACAAACCACAACCACAGTGCTGGTTACAGGCAGACCCCACAATAACCCCATCCTCCCACCTTGGCCCCCCAGAGCATCCCCCGCCCTGTACCCCAAGTCCTGGGGGGTTTCTCGGCACCTCGGAAATGGCAAAGCTCAGCCCTGCTGTTTAAGCTCTTTCTTTTTCACAAACTAAGGGGGGGTCCTGGCTGTCGCGGCACAGCCGCCACAGTGAACCGGTGCTGGGAGTTCCGCTGCTCATTATCCCATTGGTGTGGGGGTGATGGGGACGGTTTTAGGGGGGGTCCCTGGCTCAGCCTTGACATGGGGCGACAGGGACAGCCGGGGGTTTTTCGGCACAGCCCACTCCCTCGGCGCGGAGCAGTGGAAGCAATTCCTCAGTGAGCTGGTAACGCCGCCCCTCCCAGATGAAATGTGTGGGGGGTTGCGCCGGCCCCCCGCCGTACTCAAAGCAGGGGCTCCACTCAAAGGCCAGTGCGGAGCGCACCAAACCCACACCACCCGCTTTCACCGGTGCTGGGTGGTAGAGCCGCCCATTTTCTGGTAACATCATCAAACTCTCCGGCTGGAATGGCACCGCCAGGCGCTCGCCGCCGCCGCAGTAGGAGAGGAGCCGGTTCTTGCCGGAACCCGGCAAAAGTTGGGTGAAGACGATGGGACGGTCGTCACACCGGAGGAAATTCCGCTCCCGCCCGCAGAGCGAGATGAAAGGGAAGTCAGCCTCGTAACG